ATGCACTAACTTTCCAAAAAGCCACTAAAATCATTCCTCAACTTTACCACTGCTGATAATCTGGCCCCAGTAAATCTTTGGAGTTGATGGAAGGCTGGGATGGTAATAGGATGTTCATAAGCAGTATGTTAGTAGCATCCCAGGCTTGTATATACTAGATGCTGATAATACCTGGGCCTACCCCCACAAAACAAAAATGTTTCTAGACACTGCCAAGTATCTCTAGGAGAGAAAATCACCCCACTTCCTTGCCAGTTGAGAAATACTGTCTATATCCTACTTAAAAGATGTAAGGATTTGTGTGTGTACTGGGTCTTGAATTTAGGCCTGGATACTGTCTTTTAGCTTTTTCACTCAAGATTGGTGCTTTTCCACTTGAGCCACAGTTCAAGCGGGGATTACAGCATGAGCCACTGGCTTCTGACTGTAAGGGTGTGTGTGTGTGTGTGTGTCCCAGCCCTGGGGCTTGAACTCAAAGTTTTTTTCTTTCTTTCTCTCTCTTTTTTTTTAACCCACAAGGTAGCACTCTACCTTTTGAGCCATAGCTTCACTTGTTTTTTTGATGGTTAATTGGAGATAAGAATCTAACAGTCCTTTCTGCCTGCCAACCACAATCCTCAGATCTTAGCCTCTTGAGTAGCTAGGATTATAGCCACAAGCCACCAATGCTAGGCTAAGGATTTTTTTTTTTTTGGTCCGGTCGTGGGCCTGAACTCTGGGCCTGGGTGCTGTCCCTCAGCTCTTCAGCTCAAGGCTAGCACTCTACCACTTGAGCCACAGTGCCACTTCCGGCTTTTTTCTTTTTGCTTATGTGGTGCTGAGGAATCGAACTCAGGCATGCAAGGCAAGCACTCTACCACTGAGCCACCTTCCCAGCCCCAGCTAAGAATATTTTTTAAATGTACATTGTATCATGTTCCTTCCCTGCTAAAAATTCTCCACTGTCTTTCTGTTGATCTCTGAATAAAAGCAAGTTCCTTACTGTAATTTACAAGATCCTGTGTAAACTGGCCTCTGACTACTTTTAAAAACTTCCATACAGCCCTCTAGCTAACTTACTAAATTCAGCCACATTGGTCTTTGTTTCTTAAATATCACATGCTTGTTTCCATTGGCCCTTTGTACTTGCTATTCCTGCTACTTACATGCACTTCCCCTAGATCTTTGTAGGACTCACTGTTTCCCTCCACTCTCCACAACCGAAAATCAAATTTACTTAATCCTCAAGGCCTCCCCAGACCTTATCTAAAGTCCCACCCTACCTCCACTATCTCTCACACAGTTCACTGTTCCTTTGCAGAGCTAATCACAATAGAAAAATGCCTTATTTTCTCACCTTTTGTCTGTCTTTCACCAGAGCTGGAAACTGTCTTTTCCCTCATTGTAGTTCAAGTGCCAGAGCAGTATGCCTGGTGTAGTCAAGGTATTTAGCAAATGTATCTACCCTCTACCTCTTCTATGTTCCTCAAATCTCAGTCAGGTTTCGATAATCTCTTACTTTTCCTTCCAATAATTTTATTTTTGTCAGTGCTGAGGACTGGAACCTGTAAGGTGGGGGGGGGGGGGTGGGAGGAGGGGGGTGGAGGGAGGCAGGGGGCAGAAAGAATCCAACACAGAGAGCAAAGTCGGGAGCAGGGAGCTTTATTAGACTGCAGCGAACTGACCCGCCAAGGGCCAAGGGCCACAGTACATACTAGGGAGCTGTAACTGTGACCCTGAACCAGCAATAGGCCTTAGTTTATAAAGACACAAACCTTGAAGCAAGTGGGGGTTGTACATTCCAGAAACATAATGACATATGCTCCTGCATTCTTTTGATTATATATATTTTTGGGGGGAGGTCTGGTCGTGGGGTCTGAACTCTGGGCCTGGGCGCTGTCCCTCAGCTCTTCAGCTCAAGGCTAGCGCTCTACCACTTGAGCCACAGCACCACTTCTGGCTTTTTTCTTTTTTGCTTATGTGGTGCTGAGGAATCGAACCCAGGGCCTCGAGCACGCAAGGCAAGCGCTCTACCACTGAGCCACCTTCCCAGCCCATGCTCCTGCATTCTTGAAGCCAGGGGTTGTTACGAAGATAGTTACAGGAGAATATTATTACAAAGATAGCTACAGGAGGATATACAATGTGCACACCCAGGCATCTACACCCTTGAAGCAGGAGGCAATCAATCACGGGGGTGTGGGAGGTTGGGGGGGTTAGAGGGGGAAGTTGTACAACGTTGCACAGCAGGCACCATTCTAATTGTGAAATATGTTTTAAGGTATCCCTTTATGGCTTCTCTTTGTTTTTAGTAAAGGGTCAATTTCCTGGCTTAGTTTTCTCACACAGTTTAGGGCCTTAACAGTCTAGGAGACCCTTCCTCCCTACAAAACCCAGTCCCATCTGCTGATCACATATCTATAATTCTAGCTACTCAGGAGGCTGAGATCTGAAGATCTCAGTTCAAAGGTAGCCTGGGAAGATAAGTCTGAGATGCTTATCTCCAGTTACTGGTAAAAAAGCTGGAAGTAGAGGTGTGGCTCAAGTGGTAAAGTGTCAGCCCTGAGTGAGAAAGCTAAGCAAGAGCTTAGCTTAAGAGTTTAAGGCCTCAGTTCAAGCCCAGTGTCTAGTGCTGGGCAATTGTTCTACCTTTTTTTGGGGGGGGGGGGTGTCTGGTCGTGGGGCCTGAACTCTGGGCCTTGGGCGCTATCCCTCAGCTCTTAAGCTCAAGGCTAGCGCACTACCACTTGAGCCACAGTGCCACTTTGGGCTTTTTTCTTTTGCTTATGTGGTGCTGAGGAATCGAACCCAGGGCCTCTGGCATGCAAGACAAGCGCTCTACTACTGAGCCATCTTCCCAGCCCCTCATGTACCTTTTGAGCCATATCAGCCCATTCCTTCTAAAATTGTTTTAGATCACTGGTAGCTTTATCTCAATTTTAAACATCTAGTATATGTTAAAAGGGGTTTGTGGAGGTATACATGTCCAAAGATTTAGCATAAGAAAACAACGAAATATAAATGAGGGCCAATTAATAGTTCAGGGAACTGTTCCTTGAACCTTAGATTTGTAGCAGGCTGTGATTTTGAAACAGGATAGACAAGAGAAAAATGAAGTATGGTCAGCTTACAGCAAATATAGGAGATATTTCTTCATATACTTCTCTTATGATTAAGGGAACAAAGTGATTTAGGAGAAAATGACACAGGATAACCTAAGGAAACTGAGACCTGGTGAAGGTGACTCAGAAATATGGTATTTAGAAACACAGAAGTGCCATCTTCAGAGAGACAACAGAATGTGTTCCTTCTTGAGGGATGAATTCCTCACCCTAAGAATGAACATGTCTGCCTTCCTGAGAAAAATGTTTCTCCCAAACTTGCAACTTCCTTATCTCAAGGATAAGGATCTGTTTTATGTCAGGATGACCTAGAAGAAATGCCCCAAACATCCAGAAATTCAGAAAGTAGCAACAGGAGTAATTAGAGCAAAGATGAGAAACACCTAGCTTTGCATAACTTTGAAGTCATATCTACTGCATCACCATATAAATACCCCAATAGCCAAGAAGATGTGTGTCCATCTTCCTGTGAGAACACCCACACTCTGTTAGCCTGTGCCCCTACCCATCTGCTTGCCTACTTGTTTACTTAATAAAGCTCCACCAAGTTTTCTTGCCATGGTGACTTGTCCAGAAATTCTTATTCTGTGATAGAAATCAAGGACTCTGAATTAAGAGATCCTACCAATAAAGGAAATTGTCCAGTGACAATTTCAATTTGGTCTTTCTTCCTAAATTCAAATGGTGAAATTTCTCTAAGAATCCAACTCACCTGGTTCAGAGGATCAAAAGCTTTTGTCTACCAACTACTGAGTCATACAGTGTCTGGATCATGGAACCTTCCGTGTTGGCTTCAAGTTGAAATACAGTAGTTCACCCAGACAAAAGCAGGATGGTCCCAGGTGCAGTATTGGTCAGTAAGTATTGGCTGAATTCAGAAACCAGAAAGCTTGGGTTTTCCTTCATTGATTTATGGGCTGTTTCTATGAAAACAAAGATGATTGTCCTCCTGGCAGCTGGCTGATTGAAGATTAGAAGCCATTCAGTCCTGGCTCAGGGCCGTAGCCCTGGGCAGCATTCATGGGGACATTTTTATGTTCTAGTGGGATCCTGCTTGCCCCACGGGCTGGTGGTATCTCCACGCGGTGTGGAGGTTCTGGTGGCACAAGGAAGTCTCTGTGCACTGGGAGGAGTCTCCACATGCTGGGAGGACACCTCCAGGCCACCACTGGGAAGCCACTTCCCTGAGGATGAGTGGGAAGGCCTCTGGTGCGGGTCAGAGCTCTCCACCTGTGGGGAGGGAGGACCACCCACCTGCGGAGAGGACCTCATCCTGCCAGACGGCTCGGGTGTGGGCCACACCGAGGCTCCAGGCCTCCTGGCAGCTGGTGATCGCCGTTCCCGGGGCACGGTGTGCTTGCGCTTGTGGGGTGAGGTGTCAGGTCATGCCTCTACCTTACGTCACAGGGTAAGAAATGACGTCAGAACCATGCATCAAGTCATCGCAGCGCAAAGCTGAAAATCATGCTGTTACAGTCCAGCGCACTACCACACGACCACGCTCAGGCCCCCAGGTCTGGAGGGGGCAGAAACGTCCCTTGGAACCTGGGATGCCCGGGCCCCTCCGCGGCCCAGCACCGCCCCCTCCTCCCCGCCAAGCGGGGGTGGCTTGGACGGGCGGTTCCACGAGGGCGTGCGGGCGCTGGGCGACGCAGGAATGACGCAACGAGAGGGTGGGGCGGGTGACGCAAGAGGAGTGACGCAGCGAGCGCGTAGCGGGGACGGGTGTCTCGGGAGGAGGGGCGTCCGGGGGACGTGAGAGGGCGGTGTCAGGAGCGCGTCCGAGGGGCGGGGTGACGCGAAGGAGGGACGCAACGAGCGCATCCAGGGCTGGGCGGGGTCACCCGCCTTGGAGTGCCCGCCCCTATTTCCCATGCTGCCCTGCGACCGGAAGGGGAAGCCGTGGCTTCCGGAGCTCCGCTGCCGCTTCGGGTTTTGCCTTGTGGAGCTGGTGTGGCTCCTGCGTCTTCGCTTGTTATGGCCGCCGCCGTCGCTATGGAGACAGGTGGGTGTCGCCGAGCTCCAGTCCTGCTTCTTCGCAGGCCTTCGACCCCCGGGTCTCCTGGCTTGCCTGCCGGCGGGGAGAGGGCTCGGACAGCTCCGACGGCTGGGGGCGTTCCGCCTTTTCCCTCCTCCTCCTCCCTTCCTCTTTTCTAAGTGCTGTTCAGACTCCGACTCCATCGGTCACCCAAGATCTCCTCTTTGTCTTTGCTCCTCACAGGGTTTGCGTGAGTTGGGAATATGGTTGAGAAAGTTGACAAGTCTGCCGCTGGTGCTTCTCATTTCTCACTTGCATCCTAACTTTTTTCCTGTTTTATTTAGGACGCAGGGTTTGCTTCACGTCCTCGCAGTTAGAATTGTAACTTCAGTATTAGAATCGGGAAAGACACAGTTATCCCGCCTGCCTCACTAATTACATTAACCCCCACTTAGTGGCTCGCGATTGGTAGGTAACTCTGCCCAATTTGTTTTCGTTGTTGTTGGTGTGGGGGGGGGGCGCCCCCCCCCGTCCCCCCCCCGGGTTCTGGGAACTTGAACTCAGGGCCTGGGATACTGTCCCTTAGCTTTTCTCGCTAAAGGCTGGGGCTTTAACCGCTTGAGCCACACCTCCACTTCCACTTCGCTAGTTTATTGGAGATAAGTCTTACGGACTTTTCTGCTTGGGTTGACATCCTTAGATCTGCCTCCTAAGTAGCTGGGATCATAGACATGATTCCTCCAGCGTCTGTTTTCCTCTTTAATGTCTTACTTCGGAGAAACTCCTCTAACTTTTTTTTTTTTTTATTTAATTTAATTTTATTTGTGAACATACTGTACAGAGGAGTTACAGTTACATGGGCAGGATAATGCGTACATTTCTTACCAAGCATTGCAGCCTCCTCCTTTGTTTACCCTTCACATCCCTTCCCAGCCTCCCCCCTCCCCCCCTAATCCCAATCCTTCTCCTTCCCCCCCTTCCCCCTCCCCCCCCCACCAACGTTGTAAAGCTCGTTTTGGACATGACAACTTGTACTTCTTATTGTTGCAACAGGTCCACCTGTATCCTTAAACAACTGGTTTTTCCCCATCTCCTCCACAAGTTATACTGACATCAAATATAGTGAAAGCAGGGGTTATACTGTGGGGGAGGGACATACAAAGCAACAAAGAGATAATCTTATAAATGTGTTAGAAACACATGCATGAAAGAAAAAAAATTAAAATACACATCTAAGGGTTCATTTTCCTGACATCACATTATCTGACCTTTTCCGCTTGACTCATACATATACTAGATATTACAAATAAGGGAAACCATGGGACCTACGTTTCTTTGGGCCTGGCTTACTTCACTTAATATAATTTTTTCCAAGTCTTTCCATTTCCTAACAAATGGGGCAATGTCATTCTTTCTGATGGAGGCATAGAATTCCATTGGGTATATATACCACATTTTCTTGATCCATTCATCTACTGAGGGGCATCTGGGTTGGTTCCATATCTTAGCTATGGTAAATAATGCTGCAATAAACATAGTTGTGCTGGTAGCTTTAGTGTGGTCTTTTTTGTAAACATTAGGGTAAATGCCCAAAAGTGGGATTGCTGGGTCATAAGGGAGCTCTATGTGAAGTCTTTTGAGGAACCTCCATACTGCTTTCCAAAGTGGTTGAACAAGTTTACATTCCCACCAACAATGAAGTAAGGTTCCTTTCTGTCCACATCCCCTCCAGCATCTGTTGTTGTTAGAGTTCTTGATTTTTGCCGTTCTAACTGGAGTGAGGTGATATCTCAATGTTGTTTTGATTTGCATTTCTTTTATGGCTAGGGATGTTGAACACTCCTCTAACTTTTTAACCAGAGATCCAATTTTCTTGGGTTATTAACAATTTCTCATCCTACAACAAATTTAGAAAAACTACCATTGTTTTTCTGTGAATGCAAGTTTATCTCAGCATTAGGTTTCTCTACTGCTTTTTCCTTTCTACAAATCAGTATTACTTGTAGTGACCATTATTTTGGATGATTTTTGCTGTGTTCTAGATGATGCTGGAAATCGACTTCGGTTTCAGTTGGAGTTGGAATTTGTGCAGTGTTTGGCCAACCCAAATTACCTAAATTGTAAGTACCTCATTAAGTTGAATGGCTAGCCATTAATGATTTTTGACAGAAGGGATGTAGCTCAGAGCAGTTTTACTTCTATACATTCTCTATTAATTGAATGGGATCCTACTTATGCTAGGGTGTAGAATTAAGCAAACTAGGTTTGTGTTTTAAATTCATTGTTAGTGGTGGGATAAGTAAGTTGAATATTTTAAAGGACACAAATCAGTAGTCGAAAGATTGTTTGACCTATAGTTTGTTTTTTTTATGCCTTTCAGTTCTTGCCCAAAGAGGTTACTTCAAAGACAAAGCTTTTGTTAACTATCTTAAGTACTTGCTTTACTGGAAAGAACCAGAATATGCCAAGTATCTAAAGTAAGTTTAATTTTATAATCCTAAAGACATGTACATTTTACTATAACCCAAAGCACTGATATTTAGTAATCTTCTAAGAATTTTAAATCTCTCCACCTTTTGATGGTCACCACTGTTGTCATCACTTAACTTGGATTACTACAGTGATTCCCTCATTGGTTATTTCTGTTTATATTCATGCCTCCCCCCCTAAAAGGAAAACATTAATATAGCCAACTTCTTTTCATAAAAATGCAAATCAGAATATGCTTAGAACCTTTCAGTGGCCTTCCATTCTCTAGAGGGTAAAAATTTAGCCTGTCTTCTTGGGCTAATGCCTGTGTGACTCAGTATTGTCTTGCTACTCTCCCTGTTTCAGAGTTTCGAATCCCAAAGAATCCCTAATCTATAAAATGCAGTGACTAAGCCATATGCTGAAAATTAGAATATTCCAAAAGTGATACTTGAATGGGAGGTCTTTTTGAAGGAAGAAACCTTATTGGAATCTTAAGAGCTGCTGTTTCTAGGACTTCCTTTGTTCTGAGCATTGTGCTAAATGTGGTAATGATGACTGTTTATACATAAACACATTTTTCAGATTGTTCATTAGACACTCATTTTAACGATTATTTTAGGAAGCATAACCACAAAACGATTCCCTTTTTAACTGTGGCTTTTTGTTTTTTGCCTTTTCTTTTTGGTACTGGGAATTGAACTCAGGATGTTACACTTGTTAGGCAAGTGCTTTGCCATTGAGCTACATCCCAGCCCTCTATTCTCTTTAAATGATGAAAAAAAAATAAAAAAACCCTGGAACTCGTGCCTCTGTTTTGTCTTAACTAGGCAATAGTGAACTTCTTTAAAATATTCTGGGCTGGGTGTGGTGATGCATTGAAGAATCTGTTGAGGAGATACAAGGTCAGTAGTGCTTCACAGCAAAGACCATCTCAAAAAAAAAAAAAAGGTTGGAGAGAAAAATGTTTCCAATCTGTTCTTTATCAGTCATTTGTCTGAAACTAATTATGAATTATCCCAAATCCTGGTTCCTGTGTATCTACTGATTCAGGAATCCAAAGGAAAGACTTTTTCTGATCAGATTGCAACAAATGTGCAGGTTTATAGACTCCATCTTGGAAACTTAAACTATCTTCAAGTTTCAGTCTCACACACAGTGTTACTGGGCAATGGCTATCTACTCTGGCTGGAGGTTTCCACTGAGTACACATTATTCTATCTGGTTATAGCTTTGTAGTTTTAACTTCTTCCTGATTTTGTTTTTGGATACCACAGTATGTCCTCTTAGAGACAGCCATTTAGAAACTTAAACTTCAAAGAGATAGCAAACTAATTCCTTGGATATTTAAGTCTTGCAAAGCTTTAAAAATTTTAAATTGTCAAAAATTAAAGATAGGAAGGTTTTATGTAACTGTCCAGAGTTTTGGCTGCTCTTTAAAAATTGGAAGAGTTGGTAAGGGTTACCCAGGTCAACATCTGGCTGGAGCCAGTTGTCACATTTTACAGGTTTATTAAGTACCTTGCTGAAGGCCACCTGGTGCACAGACCTAGAGCTTTTAAACTACTGTTACGAGAAACTATCAAGGCCAGTGGGAGTAGAACATTTCTAGGCTAGGCAATCAACAATTATAGCTATTTTTTTCTTGTAAATAGAAAACCTCCAATACCTTGGAATGACTATATCTATATAGATATAGCCCTCTGGTGTTGCTCCAAACCTATAGTCTTGGTATCTTTGGCCCCAACCCAGACCTTCAGAACCAGAACCCTATAGGGATTTCTTTGGAGGTACTCAGGTTTGAACGCAGTGCCTTATTAGGGCACTGAGCCAAACCTCCAGACCTACTTTTTGCTCATTACTTTTAAGCTAGGTCTTGCTTTCTGCCTATGTGCCTAAATTCTGATCTGTTTTAGACTTCCTATAGTTGGAGTGCCAGGCATATATCACTGTGTTGAGTCTTGAACTTTTTTGCCTTGGTAGGCCTGAAACTGGTATTTCCAATCTCAGACTCTGACATAATTTAGGATAGGCACAAGCCACTGCACCCACTATGGATTGAAGAGACTTACAAACCTTTGCTGGGCCAGCTGGCTATGAACTGCAATCTTCTCATTTGAAGCCTCCTGACAAAGCTAGGATTACAAGCATAAGCTTCTTGTGTCAGTTAGAATTTTAATAAGTGGTATAAATACACATATTAGCTTAAGAAGCACTGCTTTGTCTACAAACTCCCTTATTTTGGCGAATTATTCGATAGTTTTGTATTTTAGTAGTTTGGCATTTTCTTCAACTTGAAGTCATTTATATAGTTGAAATAGTAAAGAAAATTTCTGTATTTACACAGGTATTCTAAATGTTAACATTTAGTGATTAAAAGCCTAAACTCTGCATTTCTAACAAATTATTAATCTAGGCTATAGACCCCATCTGAGGGCTTAGACATTTTATTTTCTATAACCACTAAGAGGAAGTATTTTGTTTTTCACATTATTTGGAGTCAAGTGATGTTAAGGTGTTGCCTTCTAGATTTCCTTATTTTTTCCTTATGTATTAAAGTGTCTCATGGGGAAATACTTTGAGACTATGTAAATGTTTTGTTACATATTCTTTTGCCCGCTAATTTTAGGATTATTGAAGATAACTTGTTCTAAACAAATGGTGTTTGAAGACAGCCCAGGCAATGAAGTCCTTAGACTCTTCTGCAATTACCATCCCCCCTCCAAAAAAATATCCAGGAGTGGAGCTGTGGCTCAAATGGTAGAGCACTAACCTTGAGTAAAAAAGCTAAGGGACGCCACCCAGGGCCTCAGTTCAAGTCCCAGTACCAAGGGGAGAAAAGCCAGAAGACATACTAATGTTTTCAGTTCCAGTGTAATAGCAGGATTCACCATGGCCTTCTTCCTTTCCTTATCTTGTAAGCCCCCTTTTCTAATAGGCAAAAATTTGGCTTTGTATAGTGTATTTGCTTATTTGCTCCATCCTCAAATACTTAAGATTTCAGAATTGCTATGATCCCTATGGTAAACAAGAACTGTTTTTGTATGTAGTTTGATTTTCAAACTCAAAAGGTTCTCCCATCTGAACCTCCTGATTTACTGGGATTATAGATATTTACCACCACAATGTAGAAATTCTATTTTGAAGTTGAGTCAATTTTAAATGAAAATTACCTTTTTTTAGTCAGTGGAAAATCGATAGCTGTACATTTAAACAAATAGTTACTGATATGTTTATGTTCCTCACTTTGGAAAACAAGAGTAGAATGATATGAATTTATCTCCAAAGTTTTGACTCTGCTTACCATTTACTATAGAGTATGGCCTTGGGCAAATTAGTGAGTTTGAACTTAAAATGTTTTCTCTTGAAAATTTTCCCTAATAATGACTTTTCAGGACTCGCTTTTCTGTATAGGTGAGTAGGAACCTACACTACCAGAGTATACGTTAATGTTAATAGAAATACTGTGCTACAAGATCATTTTAAGTGAGTAAATCCTATTAGAATTTGCCATCACTGACTTAAATTATGCTGATCATTAACTTACAAACTTAAACCCAGGTACCCTCAGTGTTTACACATGTTAGAACTGCTCCAATACGAACACTTCCGGAAGGAGCTGGTGAATGCTCAGTGTGCAAAATTCATTGATGAACAGCAGATCCTACACTGGCAACACTATTCCCGGAAGCGGATGCGTCTTCAGCAGGCTCTGGCAGAACAGCAACAGCAGAATAACACGTCAGGAAAATGAAGAACATGAAACAGACCAGGCTTTTAAGATGTGTATATATGTATCTCTTGTACAGTGAAGATCAGACTCCTCTTCCTACTTAGTGTGCTTTTTAATCAGCAAACTTTTTATTGTTAATAGATTATTTCTGTTCGACCAGAATTGTTCAGCTTGGATTTCTCTGTGGGTCTACATGTTTAGAATCAGCTGAGTAAGAATGGAAATGTTAGTGCTTTAAATTAGTTTAAGGAAGTGCTGGGTTTGGGGGAGGGGAAGGCCACCAAATACACCAGTGTACCGACTGAACTCTAAGCTTAGCTGACCCTGACGTGGGCTTTGTCAAGCCCATCTGCTAGGTCCTATCAGTCCTAGATCAGCCGTTCCCCTTCTTACCCACAGAAGGGTAAGACTGGAATTCAGGATCTCTCAAGTCATAAATCAGAAATTGATAAGGGTTCTTACTTGTATCCCTTCTAGCCTATAAGCTAACTTTAGGAAAAAGATTAATGGTTAACTACTAGCTGATTTTTTTTTTTTTTGGGTCCCGTTGTAGGGCCTGAACTCTGGGTCTGGGCACTGTCCCTCAGCTCTTCAGCTCAAGGCTAGTGCTCTACCACTTGAGCCACAGCGCCACTTTGGGCTTTTTTCTTATGTGGTGCTGAGGAATCCAATCCAGGGCCTCATGCATGCAAGGCAAGCGCTCTACCACTGAGCCACCTTCCCCGCCCATAGCTGAATTCTTGAGCTTAAACTAGAACCAAGACCAGGAGCTTCAGTTGCTTGTACTCTGAGAAAGTTAACATTTGGCAGGTACCACTAGCTGGACAGTGAAATGTTCCCTTTAATTCTCATTTTATTTGCAGAACAATGTGAGGAGGAAAGAAGTTTAAAGAGCTTGAGAAACTTGCCTGTGGTTGGTTACAAAGCTAGTAAGCAGTAGTCAGTGCCTCAGGCAAGATGGCTTTATTCTCAACACTATTCCTAACCCCTCAGCCTCATCCCTAGTGAACCACATTCTAGAAAATTGGACATCAAATCTGCTTAAAGTAAGCAGGCAGCTTTAGACTGCAGTGCTTTGCTTTGTTTAAATCGTGCATTCCAAAGGCAAAGGTTGTAGTACTACCTGTTTTGCAAATTTATGGAATTTAAAAGATTCTAATCCCTTCTGAAATTTGGAAGTTCTCTACTGCACTATTAGAAGCTAGTCTTTCAATAGTATTCCTTTGGTCATTGCCAAACTTTTTTTTTTTTTTTTCATTGCCAAACTTTTATCTTTTAAAATATCCATATACAGCAAGCAAATTGAAAGTACATGTTTTAATAACACTCTTTATTATTTAGGCATACTGATTTTAAACCATCATTCACTTCTTTACTTTTATAAATTCAAAGAAAGTATGAAGTTTCTTATATACTAGAGAACCAGGAAATTGACAAAATCACCATCATCAAATCTTAATCTTCAGAGAATAACATCTCCACGAGGGTGGCCTGAAGACACTCAGATTCTACCAGTTTTTGGGGCTGTAAGAAAATAATAGTTAAGGCTTAACCACTGCTTCAAAATGTTATTAAATTATGCCATGCTGAACCTATCAACTCGTTATGACAAGTTCTATGAGAACTTTAAAGTACCTGCCTTAAGATGAATCATTGAAATACTTGGCTCAAGGGAATTAAATCCCTATAATCATTATCAGGAAGCTCCACATAGTAAAACAGGAGACAGCAAGCCCAAGGCCAGCCATACCTCAACACTAATTTAGGATTCCAGAAGCATAACGTTTCTCTTAAATCTAAATATGAATTAACTGGAAAACCAGTGATTTAAGTACTAGCAGGCATTACTAATCAACTAACTCTGTCTACAGACTTCTTAGCAAAGTTGCTTAAAGGCACAAAAAAAGTGTTGAGCCCCAGTGGCTCATACCAGTAATCCTAGCTACTCAGGAGGCAGAGGATTAGGGCAGGAAATCTGTTAACCAGCAAAAAAGATGGAAGTGGAGTTGTGGCTCAAGTGGAAAAGCACAAAAAAGCTAAAGGTTAGTGCTCAGGTTCTACACATACATACACCCAGAAGAAAAGCCACAGAGACCTAATATTTAAAGTTTGGCTAAGAAATGGACAACACAGTAGGCTTTTGTTTTTGTTTATATTTTTGGGGAACAGTCTGTCTTGGCAGTATAGCCAAGTTTGGCCTCAAGCTTGAGATCCTCCTGTCAGTCTGCTACGTGCTAGGATTGTAAGTCTGACTGCCCATTTAAGTTGTATTTTGGGGGATAGGGGATGGAGGAGAAGGGGTCTACCACAGTTTGAGCTCAAGGCTTTATGCTTTTGAGGTAGGTGCTCTACCACTTAAGCCATGCCTCAGCTATTTTTGTCCTGGTTATTTCTTTATTTTTATTTTTGTGCTGGTTTCCGGGCTTGGAGTGCCCAGGCTCAGCCCTTGAGCTATTTTTCTCAAGGCTGGCACTCTACCACTTGAACCATAGCTCTACTTCTGGCTTCTTAGGGGGTTTAATTGGAGATAAAAAAAATCTCAGGAAGTTTCCTGTGTAAGCTAGCTTTGAACCATGATCCTCAGATCTTAGCTTCCAGAACAGCTGGTGTTAGTGTTAGCCATCAGTGCCCAGCTTGCTCTGGTTATTTTTGAGATAGGAGTTTTACTTTTTGCCCAGGTCAGCTTGAACTGCAGTCCTGTTTTATGCTTTCTGTTGTGGTTAGGATGATAACCCTGAATCACTGATTCTTGCTTCTTTTCTGTTCAGTTAAGGATCTCATAAATTTTTTTGCCCTAGCTGGTCTGGAACTGCAGTCCTCCTAATCTTAACTGCTAAGTTTAGTGAGTTTTGACAGAGTGCAAACATATTTTCAGAAAGGTACTTACAGTTCCATATTTCAGTAGTGTGGGCACTGCGGTCAGTTTCAGTTTTTGTCTGAAGTCATTATTTGGATCTTTCCAACTACATCAAACATAATTATAAAATTTTTTTAGATTGTTTAGTACTTTACATATTCCTACATTTTAAAATGTCCTAAACATTTAAAAAAAAACTTAAAAGGACCTTATTTTTCTATTTCCCTCAGCAGAATGTTCATTTAAAGTAGGACTAAAATAAAGGTAAAGTCAGTTAAATTCTGAATTGAACCAGGTCAAAATCATTTAAATAAACCTTCACTTAGCTCAAATGGAACATTTACATTTAAATTTGAATTTTAATGGCTTCTAATTGTTTGATCTCTCAGACTTAAAACACACAACCGGGGCCAATCTAGGGCTCTTTCTACCAACATTTTCTAAAGCCTACAGCACATTTGTGAAATAGTGTATACTTTGCCACTTACTAAGTTCTTTCTCCCACTTGGCAGTAGATGAACACACATGCTTCACTCATATGTTTCAGCCCCTCTCGGACGACCGGTTCAGCTGTAACAAACCCAAAAATGTTAATACAGAATAATTACACGTCGATGCTACACTTCCCCCCACCACCCCCTCCTCGGTAAAGACATCAGACTTTAACCTGCAGTTACTTTAACCAGCAGTTACTTTCCGAGGCGTGAACGAGTCACATGTTCTCGGACCAAGTCCGAGTCCTCACTGGCTTTACGCCACACAACCAGAACAATGGAAAGCATATTTGCTGACTCAAAGGAGACCAGTTCAACTGTTCCAACTGTTCGGCGAGACACCGATCATCTAGAGGAAATGGTTTGGTTCTGTGGAGCTATGTTCCAAGATCATTTGGGTTGGGTGGTAAAGAGAACCATCTTACTGGGCTGGGGAAGGCCTGAGGCGGAGCCCACAGACGGCAGCTGGGCCTGCCCGCTTACCTCCGGGCCCATGCCTCCCACCTCTGCCTCTCTCCACCCGGCTCTCCGAGCGTCGCCGCGGCCTTCCCACCACTGCTGGGCGGCAGCCCCGGCCAGGCCTCACCTAGCACGCAGTCGGGACACCAGCTCTTCCCTTCGGCGTCCTTAGAACCGCTGAAGTAGGCGAAAATGGTCTTGTCCTGGTGCTGCTCCACAGCCTGGTTGAACTCCTCGAACCCAGACACGCTCACCTCCTCGTAGCGGGCCATGGGGACCGCGCCCGGCGGCGCTCCGGGGGAGCCCACGGGGACCGCCTTCGGCGGGGAGACGGGGGAGCTCAGGGGCACCGTGCCCGGCAGGGAGAAGGAGAAGCCCAGGGGTGCCGTGCCCTGCAGGGAGATGGAGGAGCCCCGGGACACCGCGCCCGGTAGGGAGATGGAGGAGCTCACGGGCACCGCGTTCGGCAGCGAGACGGAGGAGCCGCCGCACACCGCGTCGGGCAGGGACAGGGAGGAGGCTCCGCAGACCGCGCCCGACAGGGAGACCAAGGAAGCGCCGTGGACCGAGTCTGGCAGTGACACTGTGGAGCTCGGCAGCGAGCGGGAGGAGCCTCCGGGTCCCGCCATGAGGCGGAGCCCAGAGGGGGCGGGGAAAGCCTTCCCGTCCGGCAGGCGAGCGGGACCCGCGGAAGTCAGCGCCGCTCGGCCCGGCTACGGGAGCCTCCGAAGGTCATAACTCTGCCGCACCGCTGTTCGGCTCTCCTTTTTACCGCTCTTTCGTGGCTAGCTTCCCCCTGCCACCCAAGTTTCCTCCGTAATCCGGTCCCCGCCCTCGGCCCATGGACAGTGGCTACCAAACCTGCGCCGTTCGGCCTCGGGATCCTCCCGTGGCTCCGGAGCCACAACGGTTCCCCCCAGCCGCCCGTCGCCGGTTGCTATGACAACGGGGCGAGCGGCCGGATGCAAGGCCTAGTTGGGGTCCCCCGGCCCGCCTCCTGGTAGCCGCGCCTCGCCCCGGCCAGGTGGGCTCGGGCCGGGGCTGGGAGGATTCTGGGAAGCCATATTCGGCGTCACGGATCTGGGGGAGAGGAGACCTTGATCCGGGAAGGCCCCGCCGCTTCGTTTCCCCATTACTAGCTGTGGGGGGGCGTGGGGCTGATGAAGCCGGAGAGGCCCGGCGGGGGTTGAGGGGCGGAGCTTGGGGGAAGCCCGAGACCCGGCGGGGGTCGGTGAGGGGGTGGTTGAGTCTGAGACCCGGCGGGGGTCGGCGTGGTGGGGGGAAGCTGGAGGCCCTGAGGGAGTCTGGGTGGGGAAGCTGGAGGCCCGGTGGGGTGGGTTTGGGGGCGAAGCCTGAGGCTCGGGCCCCGAGCGCCTGCGGGGCCGCCTGAGGCGGGTGGCTGGGGCGGGGAGGCCGCGGCCCTGGAGCGGGCGGCGGGCCGCGGGGCTCGGCGGAGGCTGCGCGGGCGCGAGCTGGCTGCGGGGATGCCGGCCCGCGGCGTGGGGCTCGGCCGTTCGCGTCGAGGCGTTCGGTGGCCGTGGGCGAGGCGATGGGGTGCAGGGATGTTCCGAGGCGCGAGGCTTCGCGTGAGGTCCTCGGTGCGGGAGCTGCGCGGGGTGCGTGCGGAGAGGCTGCGGCCACGGCGGAGACGTGCCGCGGAGTCCGCGGGGGCCCACAAGGCCTTAGGGCCACCTGGGACTGTCGGCTTGACGGAGGCAGCGAGGGACTCCAGGGTTGTGTGGGTGAACGGGGCTGTTGGTGAACCGGCGGTAGTGGGGCCTGCTGGGTCTGTGTGGGTGACTAGATCCGAGGAGGAGGAGGAGGAGGAGGCAAGTGGGATCTGTAGCCGCCGCGGCTGTGAGAGGAAAGGGCGTCCCAGCCCTATGGGGCACGAGAGCATTCTGGAACTGTGGTTGAAGGTGCGGGCTATGAGGATGGCCTCAGGATGCTGGGAAGGAAGCCGAGTGGAGCTCCATCCTGTGCCTGCAGGAGAGGGGGCAGTGGAAAGGGGTCTCCCTGGCCGTGCTTCTTGGTTCCAGACAAGCCAAGATGGTGTCACGGGACCCTGGGTGAGAGGACAGGCCAGGGCAGGATCCCAGGCCTCAGGACTGACCACGTCTGTGGGGCTTGGGGCAGCTTGTGAGCTAGCCTCAGGTCCCTGTGGGCAGGCCCAGGTGGGGCTAGTGTCTTCTCCTGTGGTGGTGTCTGGACTCTTGGAGGAGGTAGGCTGTGTAGGCATCCCAGGTCCTCAGGAACTAGGACAGACTCCGGAGGACCTTGGGGGCATGGACTTACCTGAGGCTGTAGGTGTACTCAGAGCTGGAGAGGTGGAGATGTGTTGTGGGGATACCCCTGGTCTGGAGGACAGTGGTCAGTTGGTGCAGATTCCTGGGGCTGTGACACAACTGGCAGGCTGTGGGGATACCTCAAGCTTATGGGAAAAGGCTGTGGAGGTCCCTGATGCCTGGGTGGTACCTAGAGTTGTTTCAGAAGAAACCATCTCTATGGGTCCCTCAGGCATGTGGCAGAGGAGGCAGGTAGAGGAGGATATAGGCTCTGAGAGTAACCCTGGCCTGTGGGGTACAGAGCAGCCTATAGGGATGCCTTGTGCTACTGAGGAGGACACTAGATGTGGGTGTGACCCAGGATTCAGGGAAAGGGCAGAGAGGAGCCTGTGGGTAGAGAGAAGCTCTGAAGGCAGCCCAGGATCATGGGGTGTTTTACACCCTGCAGCACTATGTGATCCTGGGGAGTGGAAAGCAGGTTTACCGAGTGCCCAGGGCCTGTGGGGTCCAGAACACACTGTGGAAGTACCCAAGACTTTAGGAAGAGAGATAGATTGTGTGAGTGTCTCAGGGCTGAGAGGAACAGGCCAACTGCCAGAGTTGTCCAGGACTGTGGTGCTGGGAGACAGGGAGAAAGGGACCATCTATGGTGTCCTCCCAGGCCTGCAAGAGAAGCAGCAGGCTGAGACAGAGCTGACTAAGGAGGAGACACACAGTGGAAGTGTCCTGAACCCGTGGGGAAGAAGGCAGATTGAGGAGCAAGAGGCTCTAGGGCCTGCAACTTTTCAGGTTCCTGGGCTTGTGAATCAGGAGGCTGTTTGGGGGGCTGCCTCTTGTATGTGTGGGAGAAGGCAGACTGTGGGTATATCTCAGACATTGGGGATGCCCAAGGTAGCAGGGGTGCCCAAGCACAGGGGTACCCCAACAGGGGTTCCCATAGCTTTGAGTGGGCCTGCCAGAGTGCCTACAGCTGTGTGGGTATCTAGCCCTGTGTGTCAGGGAAGCCACTCTGAAGATGGTGTGAACCTGTGGGGTAGGGCACCTGCTGTTGAGGTGCCTGTGGCTCCTGAGCCTCTTTGGTCTATGGAAAAAGCTGCTGATTGTGGGGCTTTCTCCTGTTCATTGGGAAGGAGAAAGGCTTTTGGGGTTCCTGTGGCTCCTGAGGAACTTGGCTCTCTAGAGGCAGAGACTGGTTCTGAGGGATTTTCAGGCTTGTCAGAAAGGAGACAAACTGCAGGAATACCTGTGGTTGCAGGGCTATCCCCAGGTGGTGGGGAGCCTGTGGCTCTCAGGGTGCCTAGGCCTGTGCTGGAGGAAACTGGCTGTGAAAGTATCTCAGGCTTGAGCATGGAGAGAGAGAGAGAGTGGGGATCAGCAGGTGTCAAGGCTTCCACAAGTATGGGGATGCCTGTTTCTGCTAGGATATCCGGGTCCACACGGGAGAAGACTGTCTGTGGGAGGGTGTCAGATTTGTCAAGAATCAGACAGACTGCAAGAGCACCCATGGCTTTGGGACAACTGGAGCCTGCAAGGGAGGAGACATTTTCTGAGGGTGTCTGGGGTTTATCAGGAGGAAGACAGACTGTTGAGATGCCTGCAGCTGCTCAAGTGTTCATGACCCAGGAAGTCTCCACAGCACCTGGGCTCCTAATGGTGGGAGATTGTATCTCTGAGGATAACATGGGGTTGGGGAGGAGAACCACTGAGGTGCCTCCTGTTGCTAGGCTTCCTGGACTTAATGAGGGAGAAGAAGGCACTGAAGGTGCTCCAGGCCTGTGGAGAAGCAGGAGCAATAGAATAGTCCCTGGGGCTGTGCAGAGACCTTTGCCTCTGGAGATGCTTACAGCTGTATCCACAGAGGAGCATGTGCCTGCTGCATTGTGGGTGACCACATCCTCTGGAGAGGAAGATGAGTGTGCCTCAGGCCTGTCAGTGTGGAGGAGACAGTGCACAGAAGGAGCCAGGACTTCAGGAGGGGAGAGTAGAAGGGCTGTAGGACTGGCAGGGAGTGGCCAAGCTACAGAGGCATCTTATATCTGGGGAGGCGATGCTAGGTTATGGGGCTGTCCAAGAACTATGGGGGGAATTTGTGAGAGTATTCCTGGAGTGGCTGGAACTAGAACTGCTGTGTCCCTAATTTCACAGGAGGACATGGGCCTCAGTCATTTCAGTAATCACTTGCCACAAAGTGAGAGGCGACAGGGAGGAGGAAGATCAGGAGTTTCAGTAATCACCTGCCACAAAGTGAGAGGAGAGAGGGAGGAGGAGGATCAGGAGTCAAAGTGAGGGGGAAATGTGAGGGAGGACAGGTTGAGATGGACATATCATTAGTGTGTGTGCATGTGGGGGGAGGGGGGGAGAATGTCCTGGGGCTCTGGGAGGGAGCAGATTGTGGGGAGGTTTATTCTGAATGGGGGATGAAGGCACAGGCTGTAGCAGTATCTGGATAGAGGGAGAGGCACTAGAAATGCCCCAGTGTATGTAGGGTGACAGTTAAGGAGCTTTCCTGTAACAATGGGGAATGTGCAGGAGAGGGGTGTCCCAGGACTTTGTATAGGGGAAGGTTTGCAAGGTCCAGGGTATGAAAGTGTGAGTGATCATGTGTCCTGAAACTGGGAATCTTGCTTTTTTCCTAGTGGAGTGTGAGGCCTTTGTCATGTGGAGTCATGTGAGGGGAAGGGGGTGGTACTAACCACATGGAAGCTGCAGCTGTTCTGGCCCCAATTCTTCAGTCACCAATCATCTGTGACTACAGCTCCAGACCTGCAGTGCCATCAGACTAGTTAGGACTGCCTCCCACATGTGCCTTTTCCCATCTGCATTTTGGATCATGTCGCTAGGAATCTTAGACAGCTGTCTTTATGTTCCTTCAGATGTATCTGTCATTAAACATCCAATATGTAAACTTTTGATTTATTTAAAAGCTTAAGTGTGTATGTATATGTGTATATGTGTATGTGTATGTACGCATGTGCATGCATGTACACTGGTTCTAGAGCTTGAACTCAGGGCTTGGGTTTTGTCCCTGAGCTTCTTCAAGGCTAGTATTCTACCACTTGAGCCACAGGCTTTTGGTTGTTCTGACAGGCTCTTTTTGGTGATTGTTCTGGTCCTAGTGCTTGAACTTGGCCTGGGTGCTTGAGGTTTTGTTTTTGTTTTTGCTCAAGTTTAGTGCTCTACTACCTGAAGTATACAGCTATACTTCCTGCTTTTTGGTGGTTAGTTGGTGGTAAGAGTTTCAGACTTTCCTGCCCAGGCTGGCTTTGAACCATGATCCTTAGATCGCCACCTCCTGAGTACTTATGGGCATAAGCCACCAGTGCCTGGCAAGTTGTTTTTTTTTTTAAAACCTTGGATTTCCCAGAGGATGTACAATGCACTTTGAGAGAACGAATTCCCCTTTGTATTTAAAACTAGAGCCAGTTCTTAGAAAACAAGCTTAACTCAACAAATGGAAAGTTACATTGTCTACTAAGTTCATAGTCCTGTGTTGTTGGGAAATAGAAGATCAAGACAGGCCCTTAATCCTCCTGGAATCTTGTCTGGCTGGCAAGATGAGACATAGACCTGTGGAATAGGTAAATAACAAGATGGGACAAATAACTGAGGGGTAGGGCTACTGAAATGTATAAGGAGACCTTCAGAATGATGGAAGCAGTTTACCATTGCCTGGCCCCTTATAGCTTACCAAATGCTCTACTGTTCATGGCCTTACTATCAGTGTGTAGGGCTAGGCAAGATGGGGAAACTGAAGATTTAGATACTTAGTGCTAGATCCTGGTTTAAGTATAAAACTTCTGGTCCCCTAGCTACTTGAGAGGGCTTTTATTGTTGTCTTTTAAATACTGCCTTTCGATAGGCTAGGAATGTGGCATAGTGGTAGAGTATTTGTCTAACATGCATGAAGCCCTGGGTTCGTTTTCTTAAGTACCACATAAATAGAAAAAGCCTGAAGTAGAGCTGTGGCTCAAGTGGTAGAGTGCTAGCCTTGAGCAAAAGAAGCTCAGGGACAGTGCCCAGGCCTTGAGATCAAGCCCCAGGACTGGCAAAAAAAAAAAAAAAAAAAAATACTGCCTTTTCAGTTGTGGTTAGGATTAATGTTGAATGTGTAAAAGAACCCTGCAGGGGCTGGGAAGGTGGCTCAGTGGTAGAGCGCTTGCCTTGCATGCATGAGGTCCTGGGTTCGATTCCTCAGCACCACATGAGCAAAAAGAAAAAAGCCGGAAGTGGCTCAAGTGGTAGAGCGCTAGCCTTGAGCTGAAGAGCTTAGGGACAGCGCCCAGGCTCAGAGTTCAGGCCCCATGACCGGGCCCCCCCCCCCAAAAAAAAATAAAAAAGAACCCTGCTACAAAGTGTTAATCATGGCCCAGCTCTGCTCTGTGACTGTCTTGCTTTAGATTCTTGAGATCTGAAATGTGTACTAGAAAGGATCCAAGAGATGGTAATAGATTGTAATAAAAATATTCTTGAAAAATCACAAGTTCAAAAGTATCTGAGCAATCAATCAGCATGAAATTTCTATGGGTTACTAAAGAAAGGGTAGTGATCTATGAACATGGCAGTGTGTTTTTAATCTGTGTTTTATGATTTTTTTTTGTGTGAGGATTGCTGTTCTAAAAATAGCTGTTTCCTTTTAGCAATGGTTCTAAGGAAGACTTTCCAGCTAACTAAACCATCACTGTTGTTCTACACTATTGAAAATAATGGGACCAGGCCAGCCAGCTTCCACCTGTGTTCACCTAGCATCCAGTACACAGCTAGATGGGATGTGTGACTCCAAGCATCATCATACCCAGGTAGCTTTGTTTTTCTCCAGGTAATACTGTAAATCATTTCAAGCATGAAAAGTTTAAAGAGAAGGCATTGAATAGTTTTAAAACTACCTTCTAGGTCTTAGAGTTGTTAATGATTGTCCTGTTGTTTTTTTTGTTTTTTTTTTTTTTTGGTTTGTTGGTCATGGGGCCTGAACTCTGTGCCTTGGTACTGTCACTCAGCTCTTCAGCTCAAGGCTAGTACTCTACCACTTGAGCCACAGCACCACTGCTGACTTTTTCTGTGTATATGATGCTGAGGAATGGAACCCATGCCCCATGCATGCAGGCAAGCACTCTACCACTGAGCTGCCTTCCCATCCCCATTTTTAAAAAAATCAGATTCAAACCAGAGAAAGAAAGTAAAGGTGTTTTTGTTCATTTTGTTTTATGTTGTGAGAGGTACTGAAACTTGAACTCAGGCTCTTGGTTGGCTTTTTTCCACTGAAGGCAGGTGGAGGTCTTCCACTTGAGACAAAGCTCTACTTCCAGCCTTTTGCTTGTTGATTGGAGGTGAAAGTCTCTCAGATTTGTCTGCCCAAGCTGGCTTTGAACCTTGATCCTCAGATCTTAACCTCCTGAGTTTCTAGGATTACAGGCATGATCTATCTGCCCAGCTGGTTTTGTATTTCATTGAAAATTTTTGCATATGTGTTCATCAAAGAAATTGGACTGTAATTGTCTTCTTTTTTATGAGTGTGGTGGATAGTTCTAGAGTTTGAACTCACAGCATCACACTTAATAGGCAAACACTCTTATTAATATTGCTAAGCCACCTCACCAACTGTATAATTTTCTTTTCTTGTTGTATCCTGTTTTGGGTGTCAAGGTAACACTGGCTTTTTGCCCAGCTATACTGTGTCTTTAGTTTCCATTAGTGTGAATTTCTGAGTCTGGTTTTTGTTTTTGTGACACACTTTTGAAGAATACTAGCTATTTAATTTTTTTTTTTTTGGTCAGTCATGGGGCCTGAACTCCTGGCCTGGGCATTGTCCCTCAGCTCTTTAGCTCAAGGCTAGAGCCCTACCACTTGAGCCACAGTAGCCACAGTACCACTTCTGGCTTTTTTTTCTGCTTATATGGTACTAAGGAATCGGACCCAGGGTCTCATACATGCGAGGCAAGCACTCTACCACTGAGCCAACTTCCCAGCCTTAAAATTTTTTTTTCACTTTGTCTAGTGTCTTGTCATAATTGCATTGAGGTTGTGTACATGGGGCAGTAAAAGCACCAGTGTGCTGCTGACTCCATCTTAGTGCATTGTATCAAAGTATATGCTGTCAGTTTAGTCTATTTGACCATGTTGACTTGGGTCATATAAGGTGGTCTCTGCTATGTTTTCCAGTGTAAAATTAATTTTTTATTTTTTAACGTTAGTACTGGAACACTCAGGGTCTGGGTGCTGTCCTTTAGCTTTTTTGCTAAGGCTGGTGCACAACCACTTGAGTCACAGCACTATTTCTGGATTTTTGCTGATTAATTGGAGATAAAAGTCTCAGATTGTGATCCTCACATCTCAGCCACTTAAGTAGCTGGGACTGCAGGCCTTGGCCACCAGCATCTGGCTAAACAATGCTTTCTAATGTGGTTATTCATTTGAAAGTCAGTTTGGTCGGTTGATTTCTGTTAGTATTCATTTTTCGAGTTTTATTTCTTTCCTCCTTCCCTTCTTTTCAACTTCCTTCCCCTCACTCATATACATGTGAAACAGTAACATGGTCGTGATATACCTGTCCAAAAGCATATATTCAGAAAAATGTTACTCTTCACTCAGTCTTTTTCTTTTCCATTGCCCATACTTTGTAGATAACCAGTCCCACCTATCTCCAATTTTTTGTTTTGTTTTGGTCAGTCGTGGGGCTTGAACTCTGGGCCTGAGCACTGTCCCTGTGCTCTTCAGCTCAAGGCGAGCGCTCTACCGCTTAAGCCACAGTGCCACTTCTGGTTTTCTAGTGGTTTATTGGAGATAAGAGTCTCATGGACTTTCTTGCCAGGGCTGGCTTTGAACCGAGGTCCTCAGATCTCAGCCTCCTGGTAGCTAGGATTACAGGCGTGAGCCACTGGCGCCCGGCTTATCTCCAGTTTTTATTTCCAAAGTTCCTTTTTGCTTATATGGCCAGATGCATGTGATTTCTTTTTTTTTTTTTGGGTCCGGTCATGGGGTCTGAACTCTGGGCCTGGGCGCTGTCCCTCAACTCTTCAGCTCAAGGCTAGCGCTCTACCACTTGAGCCATAGCGCCATTTCCGGCTTTTTTCTTTTTGCTTATATAGTGTTGAGGAATCGAACCAGGCCTCATGCATGCAAGGCAAGCGCTCTACCACTGAGCCACCTTCCCAGCCCCACATGTGATTTTTCTTATGTCTCCTTTTTATCTTCCATGTGTCTGCAGTATATTATACTTTTTTTGGACTTTTCTGGCTGAGCCAACTTCTAATCTCAACCTTCCATATCTTAGCCTCCTGAGTAGCTAGTATTAAGGTGTGAACTACTG